CTACGCTATTTTCTCTTAATAGATCTCACTTTAGATCGTCCGGACTAATTTAACTTAAGCAAGCCTTAATCGACTTTATGGGATTTACTACTATAAATGTGAATTGGACGAAGTCTGACCTGCTTTTTTATTTTTTAATCTTATTTTACTTTAATTTTTTCTTAGTCTTTTTTGGATGAGACAAAAATTCATCAAGAAACTCTCGTCACATTGTCTTTCCATGCTGAAAATCTAGCTGGACAGCAGAAATTTTATCCTTCGGATGCAACTTTAGAGCTATTGCATCCGAAATGCCTGGATATGAGCAATCAAATTAATCAAGTGAGCCTTCTTTCTAAGCATATCTACTTTTTCTCTGATTGGTACTCTTTTCAACTTGTTTTATTTCTTATTTATTTAGCACATATATCTTTTATAGCGATATTATTGTTTTAATTAATTAATTCTTTTTAATTTTAGCTTCACGGCAACTTGGAGAAGCGCTGTCGAATTCTGACCCTTTGCATCGAATCTATGAGCCACATCCACTCGCGCCTTGACGAGGCATCAGCCTGGCTTGACCCCATCGATTGCCGTCTGGCCGCAACAGGTCTCCCTATTTTGTCAGAAGACCCCGCAGAATCATTGAATGCTGCCTCTAATTTCAAGATCAGTGGTCGCATAGTTGATGAACTTTCTGCAATACAAACTGAACTGGCCGTCAAGCAGTCAGATTTGACCAGTCTATCAGTGGTGTTGCAGAAGTTTATTAATCTTAGTTGTCAATTTGCTGCAATTCATGTGAGTTTATTTTACTGGTCTAACGTTTTTTTTGTCATTATCTTGTCTTCACGGCCCACGGTATATTCGTAAATCTAATGGAGGTTTTGAAAATTGTCTCTTCTAAATTTCCCACCCGTCTCCATTTAGCTAGGCCATTATCATTCTTCTACAATCTTTTCTCAATACCACAAATGTCAATATAAAGGAAATCATATGAGAAAAATAATTAACTTGGTAAAACAACTTGCAAGTCAGATAACCAACTTCGAAAGGCTAAAGTAGAGTTTTTCGTTTTAATAGCTTCTAGAGACTAACCTAACTTTCCTTGAAATTCAAGTCTGCCTTTTACCCTAAGGGCATGTGTTAATAGTGGCGTAGTGGTTATCGTCTCAGGATTATGCGCTGTAGTGTCATGATTCGAGTCCCGCCGGGATAATGATCGGACTTAGGCGAGGTCGAAACTGCAGTCCACCCTGGCTAAAAAAACCTTTTGGGAGGCAAGGCTATGTGAATTCCAATGGAAAAGTAAGGCCTAGCAATATAATTATGGGAAAATTCGACTGCTAGTTTCTCATCGCCTTAAACAAAATAGGGTGAATACGTCTCGAAGCAAAGTTCACAAATTCCCCCGAGCTAGGCTCATTGGATCGCATCTAAAAAGGATTGCAGCTTCTCGCTTCGTCCTTATCAACCTTCTCAACAGGATTCAAATTCGAGTAATGCGTATCATGCGAGACTCAGTCATAGGCTTAGCTTACGGGTCGATCTTCTCTCGTAAAACTAAGCAGTGCATTTAACCCTCTATATCCAAATTTCACAAAGCGATGCATTAAATAATTAAATAATTCGAGCCTACTATTTCGATTCATTTTATATATAAACGAAAGGGAATTTAGTATTCAAGACCCAACTTGACGTGAATTAGGTATTATTGCCTCAAATAGATTAGGTTAAAAGCAAACTGCACCGTGTAGCATTTTTCATAATACTAAATCTTGATTCTAACTAGCTAATGCATAATTTAATATTTCATTAATACTCGTTTAGCGCGCTCTCGAGGCTTCTCCATTACGAAGAGAGGACATACATCCAGCTTCTCCCACATTTTCTATCGACTCTCATACCTGCCTTGCCGAAAGTTCGTTGCGTAATGCCGTTCACAGCATTCTTGATCGACATGCCGATTTGCAGGAACGAGTTTCTGGTGTTTCCGTCGACTTGGCTAGAACAGTTGACTTGTATGATGGCTTGAATTGCAATCTTACTTTGTTGGATAATCAGTTGAATGGGTTAGAAGCTGCTGATCAGACAGCCCTGGAAAACGGTATTCAGGAGATTATTAAACAGAGCGTGGATATTCGCGTCAATCTTCAGGTTAGATATCTTCACGATTTTGTACAGTTTGCATTTTTTTCACTATAGCAGGGTTTTGATGGACAAACTTGGTATATCATTCTTCAGTTGAGTTTAATTTAAGAATAGTCAAGAAAGACATTAAACCTTGATGACATACTACGGTCCTCACCTTCATCCTAATTATATGAAAATATCTTTGGTGAATTTTTATCCCCGTACGCACCCAAAAGCACACAACTTTACATATTTATTCACACAGATTAATAGGAATTTAAATTATTTGGCACTCCATTTTCGTTGGGGTTAATAGGGATGTAGATATAAGTCTTAGTTTTAGCGATTCGCTGTTTACTTATTTTTCTTACTAAGTTGATATCCAGCTTCTATAATACCTTTTAATTTAAAGACAAACGCTGAGATCGTTTTGACCTGGAGGCTTCTATGGCTGTAGAAGCCTGCTGGCAAACTCCAACCATAGTAGACCAAGAGTAATAATTGACCCATGTGTCTTTTAATCCAACTTTTCGTACGCACTTCAGAGTGTGTAGGCATAATGAAATAATACCCTCAATCATATAAAGTCGAGTTACTGGAACTCTTAATTTTGTCATTGTTCTATATTTAATCCCAATTAAGCTCTTCTATTAGATCAGTTTGGTCAACCTGCCCTCACAACAACAATTACATATATCTCTCGATTTCGACTTCATCACTTGATTTTACTCCGAATATATTTTGTCCTACTAATTCCAGTTTGCCTGATACTATATGAGAAAAAACCATATATAAGATTTAGGCAGAGACTAGTTTCCATACTGAATCATCTTGGTTTTTA